AACCTTATTGTCAGGATCATATACAAATCTTCAACATTTTTGGGAATTAAGGCGGCTTCTCCCGATAGCCATCTCTTACGATTTACAAACTTCACTCAGTAAGAGCATGAAAAGTGGCTGCAAATAAGATGCAGTACATATTCCGATTCTTTCAAGTTGGTCTAGTCCTATTCGGTAGGTTTATGTATGGTCATGTGCCTGTCCAAAAATAACCTATTTAGTTTCAAACTAATTACTTCACCAGCAACTAAGAGATACTGAGCACACACCGTTGTGTCACCATATATTGTAATAGATATTTATGTTAGTTGAGTTTACCGACTCAAGATCATAAATAATACCACAAATTTCTGATATTAGCTTGATTAAGTCAAAATTAACATTCCTGGACGTTGCTATTGCTAACACTGTTTGAATATTTCATCATATTAGACAAGTTTAATAACTATCTCAAGAAGTTATACTTTGAATGGTTGTTTAATATTTGGTGATTTAAATAATGTGGATTGTCTAAAATCATGATGTCCGCTTTGTTCTTACTGTCAAAGAAAATATTTACAAAATAATTAATAGGGAGAAGGTATAATGGAATGGGAAAACATTTTAAATTGCTGACAAATCAAGATGAAAACAAAAGTCAACATATGTGATTACCGATAAAGTAACGTGAAGTGTTCACATGAGTATCTGCGACATGAATCCTTTAATCAATCATAAGTGTGATACCAAATGCTGATGTATATAAATACTTCAATACAAACCATGTTCAACCGGTTTGTTTTTCTGTTAGTTAACTTCAATCCAGTTAACAACAAACGTTTCTATCACATCAGCGTTCAGTGAGGTTTAGAGAAGACTCTTATTCTATTCTAAGAAGATTAAAGCGTAATCATTTCCTCTTTTATGTGATAGTCTTGATGAAATGTTCAGTACCAGTCAATGGCGACGACTTTTAGAGATTTATTCCATATGAAAGGGCGGATTCAAGCTCACTGTGCATAAAAACAGTTATGTTCAACGCTCATTACGCCATTAAAATGCTAACGACATCATTCAACTAACTAGTTTTGTGTGTGAATCGACTGAAACCACACCCCCAATTACTGAGAGCTGGTTACCTTGATCACTGAACACAGTTTCCACAAAAATTACCATCATAGTTCCATTTATAATGCAATAAAAACAAACTTTGATACTATAAAAAATAACTGTTATATGTCTTTATTTTATTACCAGATAATTTTAAGGAAACTTTAGTAAGCTATAAACACAAATAAGTTTTAGGTTGTAATAAAGTAAGAATTTTGAACAATGACATAATCAGTACTTAAATCAGATATTAATAATTAGTCAGTAGCTTTTGATAAACCAGACACGTACAAATAGTAAAATGCTTTCACAAAATTATGACACGTAGGCATATATCAGAAGTTAGCATTAAAATAAATTCTAAATGGTCACAAAGAATAATTAAGCTATAGTTCTGAAATTGTAAGCATTGATGGGGATGTAGTAAGCGTTGAATCGCGGTTGACTATGATCACCACTCCTAGAAAACTACGTGCCAGTTGCTGGGTTGCGTCTATCCGTAAGTCAAATATCAGATTGCAATAAAAGGTTGTAATTAGATGTATTTGTTGGTGATTTCGTGGTATCAAGATAATACTGAGATCGCGTCAAAGTTTACAGGTGGGACTACTTAGAGTACGCAAGTTCGTACAAGGTCACAAAGCAACGGAAAAGTGTCTTTTTTGGTGCACTTAAACAAACAGATACAGTTAAACAATCACTGGTACAATTGGTTATAATAATAAATCTTTTCGACGAAATCATTTACTTAAACTGTACATTCGTATTTATAGTTGTATAGAAAATTTGTCTATAGAAACGGAAACTTTCTTCATTGAATTCTCTTTATTTTTACCGTGATATAATGGGTTATTTTAATTGCTGGATTATAATCTATAAATAACCTATACTCAGATAGATTTTATCGGTTATACAATTTAGTGATTCAGTATGACATTAAAAGCCTTCCGTACAATCCATCTATTGAGCAACAGTTAACTGTACGTTAACACCTCGAGATAGAACGAACATTTACGCTACTTTGTCAAGCACATACGACAAAAAATTCACTCATTAGACGTCAAAATGGGATATTACAGTAGACAAAGTACAAGTAAAACATATACTTTATGAGGTTAACCTTGATGAACTATATTAATCTAACTTAACATACTTTCATTTGAGATATGAATATTGAACAAGGCAAATAAAAGCTAATTATGATGGAAAATATTAAATAAAAACAGAAAAACGTGTGCAGCTGTTGAATTTTTAGTAACGAGTATTTTATATCCTTTCGAAATTTTCTGTGTGAAACTACTTGTATTATCTTTCTCAAAGACAACCATGGTCTACATTATGTTAAATGTAAACTTCAAATAATATTAACATGTTTAGTTCAACACAGATGAGATTTATTTAGCGGTTGTTTGTATGTCATCCTGCAAAGGATAATGAAAATGAGATCAAAGTCATTGTGACCACAAAATCAATACAAAACAGCGTTTTTTCTCATTTTTTATTAACTTGTCAAACGGTAAATTAATTACAGACTGTTCATGTTGAATGCTATAAATAATATAAGAATTAGCTGACTATATTATAAATAAAAAAATTAAATACTAAGAGCACGTTATTACTATTCCAGTGGTAAATAATGATAGCAACTGAATATAAGACGTTTCTAGAAAGAAATCAATCAGTTTCCAGTGTTCTATGCCAAATAACATAAGAGATTATTCCAAAAGTAAACTATTTCAATGCTATATATAGTCGCTCACTACTTTTTCGGAGGTATTTTCTTAGAATAATATACAAATTTAAAAATTTGTACGGAAAGAAAATTATTCGTGTTTTGGTGTAAAAAACTATCATCAAATGGCTCTGAGTATCATAGTATTAGCCTATATGAGAGTAGATAATATTTGGTTAACATATTTATAATCCCAACGTGTTACTCATAATGATTGTATGTGCTGTTAAATTACCAAAACCTAGATAAAATAAAACTTTACACAGTAGAATATTTATATTGTTTCACATCTTTTTCCAGTAAAAAATGTTAAAATATATATTATATGATCTATAAAAAAAGAGATCATTTGTAAACAGAATCAGCTGACTGATCATATTTTCAAGTTATCTTGTTTATAGTCATCAATGTTCCATATACTTATTCTGAACTCAGTTAAAACATATTTAACATCTCACTGCAACAAATCTCGACAGGATTGTTGAGAGAAACATGATCATTTCCAAATTAAAAGCTAGAAATCCACGGTGTCATGTTTTAATTTTTATTACATCGGATACCAAACAGTGGCTATCAAGTTTACGATGTAGAAATATGATTTGTGCCATTTAAAAAGTAGCTTTCAGAGATAGTGTAAGATATATGTTTATCTGTAGGGGAACTATTATTTTCGATAAATATAACTATCCAGACGGGCTGACGAAAGGAAAACAAATAAATTTTAATCCCTTACATTAATTTGTCCTAAAACATTTTTGACTGTATCCTTAAATCAGTAGTATTAATTAAGTGATAGTTGAAGTATGAATCCTATTCTAAATTTGCAAGAGATTGTCGATATAAAACATGGTTGTTTGTTTATAATCCTTTCTGGAAACATTAATTGTTATTCTACATAAACGGAAATGATATTCACTGTACTACTTAACTGTTACACTGTGTAACTACTTTAAATATACATATACAAACGTTTGAAACCCTTTCAGTTATTACCACAAATTAGTTTGATCATAATACTAATAAAATTGAGAAATCTAACGTGTGCATAAATATTGAACTACTATATTGCAGTTTCGAGCAGTCGTTTAAATGATTTTGGCGTATGATAAATTGTACTTTGTCTTTTTAATCTGATTTGTAAAATTGTGTGTCTAGCTATATATTCTATAAAATAAAGTTAGATTAACAGCAAAATGGGCAACAAACCAATACTAAAATTATTCTGGAAATTTATATTTTTTCCTATCATCAGTGACAGAAAAATAATTGAAAGTTAATTCGCGCAAATATTTGCTATTCTTTTTGTTGAGTGTATTTAAAGTTATTCTTAAAAAAATCATAAGTAACCACTTTGTATAAGTGTAGTTTCATTTACCAATATTCCAAAACTTATGAGCCACTGCTTTCTTCAACAGAAAATTTCATACATTATTTTAGGAAATAGGTTATCTTTTTCAGTGAATCTATTGACGTAATGTGTTTTATTCAAAATTAGGGTAAGGAAACCCAGACGACTTAACTTCACAGCATTTTTGAAACAGCCTACACTACCTTCAATTTTCTTCGATTATCTGAACTTCAAACCGTATAATTTAGGTCAGACTTTGACTTCCTATTATCATCTTTGGCTATTCATAACAAAGTTATGTAGATATTTTTTCAGAAAATTGTGTCCTTAGACTGTCCTTACTATCATGATCGTTTCTTGTACACGAAAAATGAACTTTTATTTATGCTTCTCTTTATTACCCTGCAGTTATAATATTCATACTGTGGTACATATTTATTAACGTTTACTGGAAATATTGTTTTAAATAATAACATGAATACATACTTCTAGTTACATTAAGGTTACTACTTGTCTTACAATGGTGTTCTAAGATTGTGGTGAACGAGAACTCAGGTGGAGATAATCAGTTTATTGTTTAATACAAAACTACGGAGTGTCTTCGTAAAATATGAAAACCATACATAAAATAATTCATTTGCGCATCTTTCATCAGTTGTTTCCTACAAACTTCCTCGTTTGTTCACTCCTTTTGTCTTCAATTCGATCTTCTCAATCTTCTGCTGGCAGACATTCCACTTCCGACTGGTGTTACATACAACTTATATCTGTCAACTTAAGTACCATACACCACAAGATCAATATGAAGCATTTATAAAATGTAAGAAGATTCATTGACGAAACATTTTTATTTTGACTGTGCTTTTACCTCCCAAAAAGATTTCCAGATTTGAATTTACGAATATTTTTGGGTAAAATAGTTAGTAAAAATGAATAAAGTACATTGAAATAAGAAAAATTCTGAAAGTAATTGTTTACTTGCTGCATTATGTTTACTATTGATTTCAAAAAGAAAGATCATCACTAATAATAACTATTATAAATAAAAGCAGAGAAAAAGCAGGGCTTTTGGGTGTTTCATTTTCATAAGTCTTAAAAATAAGTAGTTTCCATTGCTTCTGTCTAGTTCACAAATCTTCACATGTGTCAACTGTTAGTTGATTAGATACTCGACTGGATAAACATTGTTTTGAGAACCAATTCATAAAGAGTAGACGTCTGGGTAAATTCCTGTCATCAAGCCATATGGCTAAGGCAAAAGCTGAAATAAAATATATAGAATATACGATATATAGCCATATATGTAATTATATTATTTTAGCTAAGAATTAGCAAACAGAAATTAATGGTACTGAAATTCTATCTGGTAATCTATGTTCTTTATCTAATTTCAAGAAAAAAACTGTTCCTTTACAGATATGGCATGGGGAATTATTCATTAGTACATACATTTATGTTGATTTCAACTAACAACAACGTTATGAAACTGTAATTTATCACAGTATTTTAGTATAATTTACAAAGAATAAATAAGTCAGAATATTTCACAAATGATATTAAGTAACTGAAATAACTTGAAAGTGTTTAATAATTCTGGATTTTTGCTTTGTCAAACTAATGCTTGTATTCAACTGATCTTAAATACTAAACATAATATCTGCTTTTGTCAAGTTTCATAGAACACTTTAAACAAATGTGGTATCTTTAAAGCAATTAGTCCCTTTGATAAATTTCGATAATGCAATGAGAAGACGAAGATTATCAGAACTATGTGATATATTAGCGCAATACATTTCGAACAATCTGATCACACATATACTTGTTAAGAACATTTATATATAAAAATAAAAGGTCAACTAGACTGGAAATAGGGGTAAGAATAGACAAGGATAATAATGATAAAATAATGTGAAAACAATTTGACACCTAATCACTCTGGATAATAAGCATATATTACCAGGGTAGGTTTAAAGAGAGAACAAACTGTTTTTGAATACACAAAGGGGGGTTGAATTTTCGTATAGCTAAGGCTTCAACAAACCTTAGTATACGCCCTTTTACACTTTTAAACAACACCACAAAAGCCGAGTTTAGATCAATCTTATGACCTGTTTCGATTATATGCTTAGCAATAGAGGATGATGGATGTTTATCCTCTACTCTTATTGGGTCATTATTAACCAGAGTGATTAGGTGTCAAATTGTTTTCACATTATTTTATCATTATTATCCTTGTCTATTCTTACCCCTATTTCCAGTCTAGTTGACCTTTTATTTTTATATATAAATGTTCTTAACAAGTATATGTGTGATCAGATTGTTCGAAATGTATTGCGCTAATATATCACATAGTTCTGATAATCTTCGTCTTCTCATTGCATTATCGAAATGTGGTATCACTATTCGTAAGCTATAAAATTCCATAATAAACTAGCATGTTTACAATCCCTAAAAATTAACAAATATTTCAATTTGAATAGTCAGCCAACTAATGTAGTCATATTTCATAATAAAATCCCTATATAATGGTAGGAAAACTATGCTGTCTATTGTAAAATAAAACAGATCACCAGACTAATCACTTTTGATCTTATACAATAATTCCAGTTTTGATTACCTTGTTTTTACGTAATTCACATTTTTATCACAAAAAATATAAAAAAAGACAGTACAATACATAGATGTATTAAAACATAGATGTTATTTTCCATTATTGTCAATCACTTAATAAACGTTCAACATGTGCAATAAGTCAGTCAATTTAATTTCCTGACTGTTGTTCACTCAATCATATTTTATTATATTATATCACTAATAAATGAAGATTTTATCAACTATTCTAATTATAAAGACTTAGATTGTAGTAAGTAATTGATAAACTAGTTGGTTTAACTGAAAAGTTTTAAAATAATCAAATATTAAACCCTATTTTATGTTTAGTCGAGTCCGAAAATCTTCTCTATCTTTAGTTTTGTTGAAGCTAGTTAAATAACGATTATTTATTCCAGTGAGAATATTGTTTGAAAACCATTAAAAATTAACCAGCACCGAATAGGTGTTTTGTCCAGTATGAACTACGCATGGAATTGAAATCGTGATCACTAGATTCTGTTGCCAAGATGATAATCGTGAACCACTCACTGATAAATAATAAAGACTGGGTTTATTGAAGCATGAGGTTAAGCGGCCGCACTGTTAAAGATCCGCGATCTGGTTCTAGATAGTCATCTAAGGCAACCTGATTTTATGATGATTCTCCATCTGATATCACTTTGTGACCAAAATTATCTTCTGATTATATAAATCTCAACACTCAAAATCATGGAAGATTTATTGATCAGGTTAATGATTTGAGCTTCGTTGAGTATTTTTATTATGAAGTTGAAAATTTGACATTTTTATGATTGCAAAATATTTCACTTACTAACTAAGCATACACATCCAGAAACGGCAAAGTAGATTTCAGGAGATACTTTCCAAAAAATACTCACCACAAGAGAAAGTACTGATCCAAATGACTTGTTTGAAACACCAAAATGTCATAAAAACAAACGGATCATAAATAAGTGGTAATTTAATTGTCTTTTAAGATGAACTTTTGTTAACAGATCTCCTTATAAATCAAATTAATATGGGTTTCTGTTTAAAAAAATAAATGGGTATTAGAACCCACAAACAATTTATGATTAAATTGAGTAGGCTTTGTGAAATAGTAATATTGAATGAACATTGATAAAAGTATCGAATGTACGGTTTTCCTTTCACATGGCAAATGTATCTCAAGTGTTACAGCTGGTTGAGATCTCTTTTATTTGAGAATTCTATCACTGTTCTCTGAAAATCGATGATCTGTCTTTGCATCTATCTAATATGATCAGATTTTGAACTGTGAATAGTAGTAATTGAGCTTACGTTTTTGATAGGTATTGCGTATAATGACAATTTGAATATATCTGAGTCGGTTCTTACAAATTAATTTACCTCAAAGTAATAAGTGTGTCGATAACCAAATTTAAGTTTTGCGTCAATTCACCAATCTTAATTCTTAGAAAGACTTTCTATCAATGTATTTGAACATTCATCTTGGGTGTTTCCAACTTTATGTTTGGTTAGCAATTTAATATTAACCAGTGCAGTTTATTGGGTACAATACCAATGTTATTCACTTTTTTGTTAACCCACTTTACAAACACTGCTAACATACACACTGTTCTAAATAACACATATCCTTAGAAATGTTATGCCGTGATGTATCAGCAAAACTTAGTAGTATTACTGTTTAGTTTTACAGTTCAAGGTTGACTAACATGATGAAATGTCTTTACAAATAGTTAAAAACAAAAGGTGTGGTATTTTAACTTAATTATTATTAAGTAGGTTAACTATCAGTTAATCAAACTTACAAATCCGAGATAAACCATTCCATAGTTGACAGCCAAATTTATTGGACCAAATATAGACCCTGTTGCTGCTGGCATCATGGAAAAAACACCAGACAAGAAGAAAAATAAGGCACATGCCCATATAACATATAAGATTTTTATTACGATTCCAGTTGTATATGCAATAATAGGAAACGTAAATAGTAATACACCCCATAAACACAGTTGTATGCAGATTGGTATCTGAAATTTACAAATCAACAGAATTGAGATAGTTCCAATAGAACATTTTTAGCATAAATAAGTAGTTTTTTAGCCCGTTCACATTTGAAAATCATTTTATTTCTAATCACAGTAATTTATTCAATATTTGCTTGTGGTAACGACGATCTTAAGGCCATCAACATATATAAAGCCCCATCAAATTTAAGTGATTATTCAGCTGGCATCGATAGATCAGCAAACAGACTTACATAACACCATATATTTCAAGATCATTTTTCGGAAATATATATCATAGCTATGAAAAGACTAATCTGTATCTAAGTATTTGATGTAGTTGTATTTACTTTCTCATTAAATTTTGCTTGGATATACAGATATTCCTTACAATCAAGTATAGCTAACCAATGCGTATGTCAAACGCGTAAAATCGAAATTTTTACCAAATTTATGGAGTATATTCTTAGAGTGAATTTATTAATTATCAGAAAAGAATAAACTATTTCCTAAGTAACAGCAAATTTCGAAGACATTTCTGTCTAGAATAGAACTAAAATTACGCTCCTCATCATTTACTTTTTCTTTTATGCATGTTTAATACCATGAAAGGATTGTTAACAAAATATGAAGTTACGAAACGTAATTTTATCACTTTGGATGCTAATTAAGAATAATAACCATCAAAAGTTGTTTTCATACGGATAAGTAATGGCGTTGAAAATCACCTTGAAAGAAAAATGATCCACAATAGCACCCCAGGCTACACGTCCACCACAGTTGAAAAGAGAAGTAACAGCTGTTACAGTTGACAAAAACCTATCGTCACTTATATGCGTTTGTCCAAAGATCTAAATTTAATCAAGAGAGTAAAGCAAGTGAAATTAAAATAGTTAAACTTAGCTCAATTATTATTTTAAAAATTCATATCAACACTAGCATATTTGGTATACTTCCACACCTAAATAATGATGCTTATTATCTTTTTAATATAGCGGCTTAGATGCCAACTCACTGATCTGAAAATGACGCCTCATCCATTAGCCCTAAAGCTCTCAGGTTCTATTCATAAAGTCGTGGGTGTGAATTGCTGATGAGTTTTATATTACTACGAAATAATAAACAAGTGTTCCTTAATCTCCGACGCTAGTCTAGCTAAACTTAGTCCGTAATGGATGTTACAAAATAATTTCTTGTTGCGTTGTGGTTTAATATACAGTTTCAGATAATCAACCACTCACCTTTAATGAACTTGTAAGAACAGATATTGGAAAACAGTTAAGAAGCATCATAAAAAATAAAAGGTAGTAGTCAATATGACGTAATAGCTTTCCAGATTGGACGTTTACTTCCACCACAGTGTTACGCTGTAATTAATGAGAAAACACAGCAAAGAAAATTAAATTATTGGTAAATTAACAACCGGTGTTTACCTGTCATTTTACAAGAAAAACACAGGAATACAGGGAAAAACAATAAACACTTATCTCCATATTTTTAGGATCCGTGTAATTTTTAATTCCCAGAAGAATTATATCAAAAACAATAAATTTTAACAATGAAATGTTGTCAGATAATCTGGTTAGTAAGTAAAAACAGAAAAAATGAACAAACAGTTCAATGGTCATGAATTTGTTGGATTTACTAGCGAGTAATTAAACGGTGAGTTGTTATAAAACAAGTTCATTTTAACGACGAAACTCAGAAAACCAAAGTGAACTGGTTAACAATGCGTAAGTATTTTTCTAAACGTTTTAAAGTTTAATGCTTTTCAAAAACATCGAGATTAAAATGACGCTAGTTTTAAAGAATGATGTCAATGTAGCATTTAGATAAATCAATAAATTCAATATTTTGACTAGACTGGTGTGATTATGAAACGTTTCATTTTTTTGGCATATAAAGAGCTCGTAGTGACTGTAAACAATTAATGAACTCCATTATTCAAGAGTTCAGACAATTTTTATAGTATAAGTTGACATTTGTCATTCTTGTCTTCTCAATAACATGAAGTTGATTTTTCAACCAAACATACAAAGAGTCTATATTACGATCACGATTGTCAGATTAAGGAATTCGGTCTATTTATAATATAATAAAATTACATTAAGCAAAGATTAGACTTTATATATATATATATATATATATATATATATATATATATACACTTATGCCTGTGGCCCCTCGTGGAGCAGCATAGGCCGTACACCAGTATTCTCCATCCAACTCTGTCCCAAACAATCCTTTCCATTTCTTTCCAGTTAATATTCATCCTTTTCATATCTGCTTCTATTTCCCGGCATAATGTATTATTTGGCCTTCCTCTTTTCCGCTTCCCTTCACCATTCCAAGTTAGGGATTGCCTCGTGATGCAGTTCGGTGATCTCCTCAATGTATGTCGTATCCACTTCAAACGTCTTTTCCTAATTTCCTCTTCAGCTGAAAGCTGGTTTATCCTCTTCCATGAAACGCTGTTGCTGATAGTATCCGGTCAGTGAATGTTGAGTATTTTGCGTAAGCAATTGTTTATAAATACTTGTATCTTCTTGACGATAGATGTAGTAGTCCTACACATTTCAGCTTTGTACAATAAAACTGTCCTGACGTTCGTATTGAAGATTCTCACTTTGAAATTAGTTGAAAGTTGTTTTGAGTTCCAGATGTTCTTCAATTGTAGGAATGCGGTTCTTGCTTTGTCAATCATCGCCTTTAAATCTGCATCAGATCCTCCTTGTTCATCAATGATGCTTTCCAGCTACGTGAGTGTTTCTATATCTTCCAGAGTTTCTCCATCAAATGTGACTGGGTTTGTGTTCTCCGTGTTATATTTGAGAATCTTGTTTTTTCGTTTGTGAATGTGGAGACCTATCGATGCAGAGGCTGCTGCTACATTAGTCGTCTTTGTCTGTATTTGTTCGTGTGTATGAAATAGGAGGACTAGGTCATCTGCAGAGTCCAAATCGTCTAATTGATTTTGAGATGTCCATTGTATTCCGTGCTTCCCGTCAGATATTGGGGTTTTCATAATCCAGTCAATCACCAGAAGAAAGAGGAATGGAGAGAGTAGACAGCCTTGTCTGACTCCTGTCCTTACTGGAAATGCATCTGTCAGCTGTCCTCTATGCACCACTTTGCGTTGTAGTCCGACGTAAGAGCTCTGGATAATGTTGACAATCTTCTGAGGAACTCCATAGTGTCGAAGAAGTTTTCGTAATGTTCTCCCGTCCACATTGTCAAATTCCTTTTCATAGTCGACGAAGTTGACGTATGGTGACGAGTTCCGTTCAATTCATTGTTCCAAGATGATCCGTAGTATCGCAATTTGGTTTGTGCATGACCGATCCTTACGTAATCCAGCCTGTTGATCTCGAAGTCGGGCGTCTAATGAGTCTTTCATTCGGTTCAGCAACACTCTGTCGAAGACTTTCCTTGGTACTGACAACAAACGGATGCCTCTGTAATTCTCAAATTTGCTCAGATCTCGTTTCTTTAGTATCTTGATGAGGTATCCTTCTTTCCACTCTGTTTGCACTTGTTTTTCCTCCCAAACCTTCTTGAATAGAAGGTGAAGCATGTTTGCAGTTACTTCAATGTCTGAATTCAGTACTTCAGCTGGTATATTGTCAAGTCCTGCCGCTTTCCCATTCTTGATTTGTCTGATGATCATCTTGATTTCTTCGATCGTTGGTAGAGTGACAGACATAGGAAGGTCTGGTGGATTCAATGGGGCTGGTGGATTTAGCAGTTCCTCGAAGTATTTCATCCATCTTTTCTTCTGTTCTTCAATCTCCGTGTTTGTCTTTCCTTCTTTGTCCTTGAATGGTCTCTCTGGTTTATTATATCTCCCTGCTAGTTTCTTCGTTGTATCCTATAGTTGTTTCATATTCCCTTCTTTTGCAGCTTTTTCCAACGTCGTTGTTAGCTCATCCACATGTTTCTGCTTGTCGGCTATAATGCTCTTTTTCACTTGCTTGTTTGCATCTGCATAGTCTGCTTGTGCCTTGACTTTCTCTACTCGTGTTTGACAGTTGTTAATCGCTATTTTCTTGTTCTTCCTTTTCTGAATCTTGTCCAGGGTTTCCATAGAGATCCATTCCTTACGATGATGCTTCGGCGGCCTATGCTCCACTGGGAATAACAGGAGTAATATATATATATATATATATATATATATATATAAAGTTAAATCTTTTGATCTAGAACTGTAGTCATTATTCACTTTGATCAATAAGATATTTTAAGCATGATATATTTAATCTTATTGGTAATTTCGGTTTAATTTTATAGTTGAGATCATGAGTCAATTGAAGCTAGACCATCATGGAAATCCTGGAAGCACTGGACGGCCGCTTCGTCCTATTGTGGGACTCTTCAGCAGTGCGCATCCACAGTAATGATAACATTACGCACCTTTCCTCTCAAAGACGTAACTATGTGGGTGTGATATATATCACGAATTATTTCAGTTGATAACACCAAACATACCATAATACACTCGTTTATACATATCATTAAAAAATAAATTTATTGAAAGCAAAGAGTTAACTTATTTAGCATTCATTCAATTTGTCAGTGACAATCTTACTTGTGAATCGCCATCTACTAGTTTCTTCTTTTTTGAATCTGTAGATGGACTAGTTTGAATTTTTGCACTTTCTAATCCTTCTTCTTCATTTTCTTCCTCATCTTCCTAAACCAATAAAAAATACCGTAAATTGTTAGATGACTATTTAACGTTAGCACCCTAAGCCACGGGGATTATTATATCTATATGCATGAATGTGATGTATATGATACGATGTATAACCTATTGGTTATGAAAGCTTATTTTATGAAATATGCATAAACCGGGATCATTATCAAGAAAACAATATTTTAGAAAATATGTATCTGAAATCATTTAAATAAAGCTGAAATGGTACATAGCTTTTTCCTTAAAGAACAACAATCATCTCATACATATTTAAACGTAATTAATCAGACTTATGTGACGGATTGCCCATGACTTGCTACTTTTTTAGATATACGAGAAAATCTATTCGTTGGTGTCGCGTAAAAATTTACAACTTTCATAGAACAACAAATACACCACCCTTATTTCATTAAACGTATTTTCCGATCGATACTACATGTATTCACGAGGCGAGAAGTTTAAAATGTGACAAAACATTTATCCATCATTATCTTAACTACCTTACTCCATATTTAACATTGACTTTAGGAGCATTTGATATTAAAAGACGTGTATATGGAAACAGAGTTGTGAATGAAGTGACTGTTAAATCACTAACATTATTACCATCTATTTACTGATGTATTTAATACAATGTATTTAATTTTTGTGGATCTGGACATGTTCATATATGATTATTATGAACACTACATAAAATGTGTTGGGTTAGGCATCGATCCCCGAAAGAAACAAAGATGTAGTTAACGATCGTGTTCGCGCTCAAACATACACAACGGAAATGTACCTATTTAAGGATTTGTGTACAAGTTCGTAAATTAGACAGGAACGTTTTTACCTCAAGATACTGTCTTCAAGATCTAGTGAATCTTCTAGTTCATTCCAATCACGTATTTTCTCTCTGTATATGTATTGTAATATGCTCTGTTAATATTGAAATGTATTTTTAAGATACAATATATTGTGAACGTTGACAGAATTAACTCTGATAATTAACTTTTTCATAACTTTGACCTGATACCATGGTAGAAAGGTAATTGTACACGAGTAAAATAATGGAGTATCTTCAACTATATTATTTACTGTATAATGAAGTGGGCTATGAGTTTTACATCCAACTTTTGACTTCCTATTCCGAAAATCTCTTCTCTCCTCTATGTTTATTACTCTAAGAAATCAAAATATCCCTTAACTGAATTACCAGGATTAGACATAAGGGCAGAGAGTTAGTATTGTTCACTCCAGGTTTCGCAGACAAGAAAATTTTGTTCACTGGAAACTGATTACATGTTTTCAGCACCAGTATTTTTCAAGATTTTACGCAAATAATGTTCATCATTTCTAAAGAACCAATGAAAAGGTGCAATTTATTGATTGCATTCGAAAGCTGAATATTCTTACATTCAGCATCAAGCCTAACTAAGCATATATTGAGGGTTTAGTAACACTTGATGGTTGTTTTCTTCAGTTCGGAAAGTCGCATAAGCGTACAGCCTAAACTCTTTACTTGCCCTGACATGATAAGCTTAACCAGTTCACATCAGTTTCATCAATTATTGTAAATAAAATGAAAACGTAAAATGTCTATGGCCATGTAATTTGATATCATAAAATCACTGTTCCGAATTTACTTAAAACACTGAAACTAAATGTACAGTTCTTCAGAGAATGTAGCATATTTCAACAGGCTTAGACTACCTTGGATTGTGATGCATCAGAAAATGGCTACTACAAATGTTTAAAAGAACGATACAATTACTTATGTTAAGTTGTGAATACAAGTTTAAAATAGCTTACGTAAAAAAGTGACCGTACACAATAAACTACGTATAATCAGTAAATGAATATGCTTCTTCGAGTATCCTTTTTATAATACATTGTCCAATTACAATTTTCATTTCAAAAGTGTGTTTACAAGCATAATAATTCGGTTGCTCTTTTCTGCAAATCAATCAAAAAGCTTACTTCTTTTGAGATTGGTTTCATACGGACAAGTATGCATGCCACTAACTGCAACGCTGCCAATATTGAACCCATCACCAAGAAAACATTAGGGACTCTATCAAGAAGCTCTGGATCGGTGAAACGCCTGGTAAGGTGAAAATTATAATTTAACAATTTCTCTTAGATGAGCACTAGTAATAAGTAAATAGTTAAGTACTCTTTCTTTCAAAATATATCTCGGCAACTAAAATGTCTAATTATTCAAACGTATTTTACGATGTAATAGCAAAGTGCTCAGGATTATTTTAGCCCTTTGAAAGAAGGCTGTAAATATGGGTGACAAAGTGAAGTTAAAACGCGTTTCTAGCTTGCTTATGGAAACGGGGAATGTGACTTTAAAGTAGTCCTATTAGCCCGCTTGACAGCTGCAGGAAACTACACAAAATGCAAATTATTTGTGCCAATACAATAATAGAGTGCTTTGCAGAAAAATAAACACTCGCTCACATTCATAAATGATCGCCAAATCTGAAAAGTTTTGGCTTTGATAACACTTCTACAGTTAATATATTAATACAATGAAATGTATAGTGCAGCGTGGTTAAAAATGGCTGTATATTCTTATCCAGTAGTTTATGATACCTCAACATGTTTGCTAGTTAACAATCGGAGTTTTGGCAATTAGAATGTAAACGTTGGTTCCGGAATATTTTTGGTAGTTATTATTAAACTTTTGACAACTCTGGCTGATTATATAAGCTCTATGAAGAATTGATTTATATTCACTATCTTTCTATGGTTTTCCCCTACTTACTTGACGTAGAAACAGTTGAAAATTTACTAGTTTCGACGTTTTATTTACTTTTCACTATATTAACGTCAGTTATCTAGTTGTATAAGACTCGTTTTCACACAAAGCATTTTTTAGAGCAACGAAACACTTTCAGATAATCAGAAGTTATTTGAAAAAAGTAAAATGAAAAAATCACGTTCGCTGTTGCATAGAAAATTAAAAGGTTTTGGAGAGTTTTTCATTGTATAAAATAATACTCATGGTTTTACTGAAATGGAATCTGCCGGGAAAACGACGAGCTCAAATGAAGTCGTAAATATCGTTACATTTAAAGAGCTTTTTCTAAATTACGAAGGAGAGACAATAGGCAATTAGGCTTTGAACGATTACAAATCCAAAACAATTGTTTATTCATAAAATATCAGTTTGCCTAATGAAGTGAGTAGACTAGATTACCAACATAGATGCGTGAATTGCTGATTAAACATTATTATTTCGGCCTATAAATTTCTGAAAAAACTTGTATATTATAAGAACAAAGACTAGAATATACTAAATAAAAACAATAAGTTGCTACAGTTAAAAAATAGTGGTTGCTTTCCTTCAAAATGTTAAGTACTAGCATTTTTTTACCTTGTTTGACTGTCCACCCTTAAGTTAGATGGGTTAATATATGCAGTTTGGATTGGTGTAAAAATTAGGGAGCCCAATCCAAATCCTCCAACAATTATGCCAACAATTAATCCTCTTCTACCAGGAAACCACTAAAGATAAGAAAAATCAAAAAAAGTGTTTTGGTGATAAACACGAATAAACTGGAAAATTACAAAACTATACATTATGGTGATTAGAATTAAATTGTAACCTTGGTGTTTCCGCTTTCAAAACAAACTAAGTAGAATACAGAGCTTAACTTAATACTTTGGGATCGGCATTGAGTATACACAACATTTTATGCTTTAAAAAGACATAGACCTACAAATAAGTTGTTTTATAGTGACAAATTTGTTTAAACATAAACTTCAGGTCACTGTAGTCTTCAAACTAAACACATTAATTGGCATCCCCGACGTGCAATGCTTTATGGTGTAGAAGCAGGTTGGAAGAAAGCTAGTTGAAATGACTGGGACACGTGTTACGTATGCCCAACCACCGACTGCCCCGACGAGCGAAGTTTTATGGTGTAGGAGTAGGTTGGAAGAAAGCTAGGGACGGCCAGACCAAAACATGGCACAAATCCATGAAGTCACTGACAAGTGGACTGAGCCATGTTGGTAGGTGTAGACTACCTGGTTGGGATTCGCGAGATCATAGCAATCGATGGTTAGAGACCTTGAATGACATGGCTGAAAATCGTTTGCAATGGTGAAGGTGCATCCACTCCTTGTGTTCTACCAAATTCTAATCTTCTGAATTCTTCATGTCCGTATCCTTTTTCTCTTTTCAAATTTATTTCACTGTATTATACTCTTTCAATAACTTCTTCAATCCTTTATCTTTCACATAATACTTATACCATTACTACCTCTATCACTATGGGATTCGAATCGACAACTTCATCTCTGTGCTAATGTGGTATGGCAACTTGAACTGATGTACGTACGTACGAAGTTCTACGTTGTAACTGACTGACTGACTGACATTAATTGGCATGTAATTCCAATTTAAACATTAAAATTAAGAACACGAAGTTCAGCGAAGGGATCTCTTTTCAACGAATTTACTGTCAAACTGTACAATCGTATATATATGAAAATGTATCGTTAAAGTACTAATTCCGTGAGGAAATGTGAACACTAATAACTTGACAATAAATTCTTTGAAAAGAGATCCCATCATTGAACTTCGCGTTTTTAAACACATTAACCTGACTTTTCTGTACAAACTTGTTCATTTTACAAAAATTTGTTACCATAATTGTGAGTGAAATGTAGCCAAGCTTAGTAATCAAAATAATTAGGGTCATCTAAAAAATATAAATAAAATGTCGTTCAATTTTCAAATAATAATTACAAATAACTATTCTTTGCTATTTTTGAATATGCATTTGGGATTTAAAGGATGTGGACACAAAATAAGGACTCCTTTTTCAGTCAGTTATGAAATTTGATCATTGAAATTCGTAGAACTTATAGTAGCTTCAGATTCTTGAGACTTGTTATACTATCTGAAAAAGGTCTAAACAAACACTGGTACAAAGTTTGCTTTTCAAAAGGAGATTTCTACGGCTTGTAGTGTTTCATGTTTATATAAGTAGAAATGATGTAAAAGGATATCTAGATACGTATAACTAATCTGAAAGACTATTTTAAAAGCAGTACAAAATATTTACAAAAGACGGGATCATACACTAACTAATTGGATAATCACCTATATAAATGTTTTAAATAAAACTGTACTGATGAATGCCAAAAACAAGTTATTTAAAATGTCTTTAATATTGAGAATTTTGAGCTTTAGAAATGTAACTGGGCACTGATTTCAATTATAATTGCTTAATTTAATTAAAATTCAAGTATTTATTCCCGTGAATTGCTGTTGTAGTCATTAGGTTTGATTATCAGAACCTAAATTAGCAGGAAGAGATAAGCATTTTAGATGGCTAACAGATTCTAAGAAGTTTCAGTATTTCCTCAAACCCAAACCCTCACATTAGGTCTGTATAAATGAAAAATCAAATAGTGCTCTATAGACAGAGCGACAATAAATCAAATATTCATAGAGACATATCCATAATGCGAATCCCAGACCACAGTTATGAAATGTCAACTGGTTATTTTCTTATTTAACTGTATATAAAATAATGAGCTAAGCACATTTTATGCTGGAAAGAAAGCATTATATTGACATTAGATAGTGAACAACATAAATTCAAAACAAATAAGGAGCCTAATATTTAGGATCCATCAAAACATTTACGCTTACAGAGACTGCACAAGCTATTGCGACGGAATAACCGATTCCCATTGAAAGCCCAAACATTATCCCAACAGTAAAAACTACACCAATAAACGTCTTTTGTACAACAATATATGTTAGTAGAATGCTTCCGCTAAACAAACAACAAAAATATGAGAGCCATAATTAATATGCAGTAGATTTTTGGTGTGTTTCAACATGTACACCTTATAACAGCTAAAATAATATTATAAATTCTAGAATAGACAATGATGGAATAAAAAGCAATGTTACAACAAAATAGATACAAATACTCTCCAAATCTAAGCCAAAAATAACTTTCTGGAAGTTTGATCGGTTATTACTACTTTTATCACTCCAAGATTTGTCTGGAGAACTCACTCTGCCAATTGAGTGTGATTACTTGAACTGGTGCAAACATGTGCCAGGTTCTACGTTGCGTACGACTAACTGAATGACTAATTAGCAACTTATAGTCTGGAACTTAAAGTTGAGCCAACGATTTCATCGGGACGTTATTACCATTTGATAAGAACGTCTGCATACAAAAATAGACAGCTTTATTGCCTAGAGGAGGCACAACATAATAAAATATATTATCGACCTACCGAGTAGTTGAGATTAAGATTGGAACGTCTATAGATAAAATAATTTATGGAGATCTGACAGATGTTTCCTAGCACTGGAACTATTATTATTGACCTTATTCAACATTATATTTTGGCACAATATAGAGTTCTCAGCACGAGGTATTTCAACAATTTTTTTATCAAGAAATAGAAAATTAAAAAATGTGTGAAGAAAACCTGGGTTTGTACAACTTATCAAACTTAATACATGCTTAAGAATAGAGGTTATTCACTGCGTTAACTTGAACAACCTGTTCGTCACACAGTATATTTGCTAGATAAGGTATTATAGAACTTTTATACCTTTTCTTGAGTGCATGGATTCTAACGTATTGACGTCTCGTTCTACCAGAAGACATAAAAGGAGAAAGATATGAATGAAGTAGATGGTTAGTATCTGATAAGATAACACCTGCCAGACGTTTGCGAGACTTTGAATGTCTATCCACAACAGTATTATTAACGACTTTAAAAGATTTACCAAACACCTTGCTAACTACTTTCAGCACCCTCCACAATACAGCAAAGTCTTTTCTCAAACGCTCGAGGAAGAATAATGCAGAACAGTAGAGAATGATAAGTAATAGGTAGGAATTGACAAATTGTAAGAGTAGATAGCGAGTATTCCAAAAAGCATGCAAACTCTCCATGTAGTAAGTCAAACGGTAAACCTTTTCCGATAACATTAAAACATGAGAAGAGCAAGAGTGATCAGAGGAACAAGTTACTACAAGATAATTGACATTCAACACCGTGTTTATCAAAGAGTCTTCAATGGCACAAGAATAATGGGATCCCAAAATAGTGTATAAGTGCTGTACATATCTTAGGTTAGAGTTAACAGCTTGACATTTATGTGGATTAAGTATGAGACCACTAACAACAGACCACCATTCAATATGTTTTCCATATACTATAAGTAGGACACGAGTTATACAGTGATCCGAGCTGTACAATGGAGCACGTTTAAGAGCCACATATGTAACCACATCATTAATGAAAACGAAGTCTAAATGAGCATCCAAACGAGTAGGAAAATCAACTACATTTTGGTGACCTGGTGATGTAAGGGAGCTACAGTCACATGAAATGAATTCTCACAAACGCGCAGGTATAAGTTATGCAATTATCAAACATAATGAAGTGTGAAAACAAAATAAAAACAAATATCGTGTTCAAATATTTAGATGACAGAAACAGATATCCCAGATATTCAAGCGGGCCACCTCACGAAAACGATCTGTCTATCTGATTTTGTTAGACAGAAATTTTAGGAATTTTAACGGCCTTCGGATTTTTGTCTGTTCAAGATTCCGGCTCATCATATGTATAAGCTATAATAAGGCAACTGTCACATTCAATGAAAAATGAAAACTATACAACATTCTGCATTGATATTGAAAACATCCAGAGAACATACTTGGGCACCTTAAGAAAATTTTTGACGCAAACCTATTGATATAAAAATCAATTTCTTACTAACTCTAGGTTATCTTTTAGAGGTAGATTTGTGTTAATCAAAACGTGCTCCGAAAATGCCAATAGCATACCAAAAACACAAAAATATACTTCTCATAAAGTGGCATTTAACAAGATAGTGTTAACAATGTGGATATATTACCTTCCCATAATCAAAGTCGCAATCATTGTTGACTTAGGTCCGAATTTCCTTCCCATAAACCCGCCTATCGGCATAGACAGACCCTGACATCCAAGGCCAAGTGCAGATAACCACACAGCTGAGCTATCACTGATATTCTTGTCAACTCTCGCTGCTATGTACGACATTATATATGTTGTCATGTTTGCTAACAAAGAAATAGTGATGTTAATCTTAAACTTACAAATGGTATAGAAGTGACCACAACTGAAGTGAAGACAAAATGCACCTATGATCACAAGTATTCCATACAGTAAATCTTTTCTTTCTTCTTTCTATAACAAAAACATAAAACCCATCATATCTACTCACCATTTTCATAAGCAACAGTAACTTATGAAACGTTTGAGTATCTGCCTCAAAATTAAACTGTTTCAAGCGATAAGGTAAAACAACTTTTCCAAAAACTAATTATTGGACACAAATTTACATGAATAAAAACAAACGAAAATTATCCAGGTCATATTGATATACTTTGATAGGAAATGCAGCAATCTTGTCAAATTTCTCTTACTTCAAATCATTGGTTACGTCAAAATTAATGATTGTTATAGTTTCGTATTTACTTTCATACTGGCTCATTAGTACGAGTAGTATTGATATATATATATATATATATATATATAGAGAGAGAGAGAGAGTGAATACAGTCTCGTCTACTTCCTTTGTATTTTGATATTCTGTCCATCTAATACTCCCTCCTTCGGATCACACGATTCGTTAGAGAGAAGAATGTGTATAACACATCCTGTTCAACTTAGGTGTCTTCCTGCTGGCACTGCACCTAAAAAACCACTGTTTGTACTGGGAAAAGGAAATGAAGAAAGTACCTTAACTACGAAAAGAACACAATTAAGCTGGAAGCTCTAAACTCTCAAAATGTGCAGCATGATAGTATAAGGAGGGAAATAAACATGAAATATCATGTCGCCTAAAGCCTTGTTTGTGCTAACGGACCACTGTTACCTATTAGTACGAAATTACACTTAAATGTGTACTGATTCAAGCTAGCTCAATATAAGTGCAGAATTTTGCTACTAGATTCACTGAAATATAGAACTGCTTACTAGTAGCGACGCCTTCATAAGATTCTTTCGAAATAATCTGTTATGTTTACTTTTCATAATTAGCTACCGAGGGCGATTATTATAGGTATTATTACCTCTCCTATTATCGAGCAAATCATGTTTTTCAGTTTCCTTTAGAGTACAGCTGTTGTCAAGTTTCTATTAGTGAGGTTATAATTAAATGATGTCTGACACAGGACTAAAATGGTATTTTTAAAGGCGTGATCAATAATAAATAACAGGAGCTCACATAGAGTTGTTGAGCCGAAGAAATGTCACTGAGCCCTAGAAAAATTATCTGGCATTCGGGTCATTGAACATCATGCAGTTAATTTATCATCGCCAACGCACATTAGTTGACTGCAAGTTAAAAACTGGGTTATGCAGAACCGGCCGCACTGTCTTCCTCGCACCCACTCTTACCAATATATTTCTGGACTAACTTCATTTGTGTTGCACGGTCATCAAAGTCGCCATAGTACCTGGATACAACGAAAGGGTAATCTACGTTAGGTGTTTACTAAAACGTGGAACTTCGATATTGCCTGGTTGCTCACACTGTTCCCGTCTAATTTGAATAAGTCCCAAATGATTTTACACGGATCGTCCGTAACAATCGAGGTAGATTAGTTGAGGGTTGACCTCAAACAATCAAGTATATGCTAAAACAACAGAACTCAAGTATTCATTCACTTCCTTAGCTTGTATGGGCATTATATTTCTTATTTTCTTATATTGAATCTTGAAAAGCTTTATATGTCTGAATAGGTAGCCTTCTCTCAAATTTGACTGTCCCATGAGCTAAATAAAGGAATACTCTCTACTAGTATGGTTACCTATAACAATAGAACGAGGGTTACCTTTTCGGCACGAAACATATACATTATGGACCGACATAGTGAACTACCTCACTAGTGTCACCAAAAAAACCACCCAAACGGATCAAGAAAATTTTACGGTAAAGCGTCCATAAAGGCTTATCAACTAAGCATTCAATAGATTTCAGCCACAAAACTACCTAATAAGTATATAGCTGTTATAAAATAGAGATAAGGAGGCACTAGGTATAAGCTGTGGCCGCTACGCGTATGTCGGCAACATGGTTCAGATTGAGGAAGAAGTTTTGTCTATACGTGACACATGAGTCGCTGAAGAAAATGACCACTAGTCTGACAAACAGATTTCAATTTTAGGTAGTGCTTAAATGCTTTCAGAGGAACTCAGAAGGATGTGCCTAATTACTATGCGATATCTATACAGTCACATATAAAGAAACGACTCCTTTAACTCAGATGCACATCAAGAGAAAGGAAGTTTACTAATTCTGATCGAAAATGTATAAGGTCTAAGTTTAAAACTAACTGACGTTTAGGATTCTCTTATTCTGATCAAGTTCACAAATAATTAGACACATATCCGTGCTGAAGTTACAAATAATCTGATCCCATGACTACGGTAAGACTTTGGAAATAAGAGCTCAATTTATGAATGATAGTGCCTTTTATACGTTTCAAACTTGATGTCCTCAATGACTGCATAGTGAATTTCGGACCATCGTCTCTATGGATTTTAACAGATTTTCACTGGATAGCAGTTTCAGAAGACTGCTTTATGCCCTTTCGTGTGGGATCTGGACTCCATTGTTGAGATCCAGAGTCAACAGGAATGTAAAATGAAAAAATAAAGACATTTATTCTTATTACGGTTTTTAAGGCAGTAGCAATTGATATCGTGTCAATATTATATCAATGAGTCAATTAATTGTAGTTGTTGAATGAACGGGTTCCTGTCCTACTGATTGTGTTCTATAAGGACGTCAATGTTCCAACCATAAAAAGAGTCGACGCTACTTATATTTTGTAAGTTTCAACAACACGTTTTCTTGAATTTTGGTTTTCCTAGTTAATTTATTGACATGTGTTGCAATGGTAGTTAGTAACATACTTAAAGTGAGGCGATTAAATAAACGGAACAGGAAAACGTAGCGTAAGAATGTCAAGTGTTTTAACGTACAGACCAGTTTTTCAATATTTATCTGATAGCCTAAAACTAGTTGTTCTTAGAACAGCAGTATAGTATTGTTCGTAACATATGGCAATAGAAAGTACATTTACAAACTATAAACATTAATCGAATCACTAACCGACGTAGTAGGACAGCAACTATACCGTTGAACGCTCGTCTTTCACCGAACCATAATATAAAGCCTTAAATGCAAATTAAGTATTACCTAGCGAGATCACAGTCAACGTACGTACATGTCGTGTCCACTAGTTCAAGTCACGAAAATGTATAAGTCTGAACTTGCTTAGTTTTAACCGTCCATCCTAATGCATTTATTTATAGGCACGAAGTGTCACTTTTTAGCGTTTGTGTACAGAAAATCTTGTTGGCATCACGAAAATTCTCAACAGTTCTAGTGAACTGCGCAGCCACAAAGAATGTTCAAGGAAGATGAGTCTTACGAAAACGGCCTTTATTTCCACTGCCATTTAATAGACGCGGAAGTTCATCGTATTGAAAACTTCTTATGGACAGACAAGTTTGGTGAAAGTCATATTGTCGTTTCAGTTGCCCATTGCAAACTAACTTGACACATCAAACCCTAGAGGACTTGACAATCAGAAAATATTACTTTTCTCCGTCAGAATGCGCAGACGATTGTCATAAAACGAAGAGGTTTCCAAATCATCTCAACTGTATGGTCCGATTCAGTTCCTCATGATTGATCTCCAGAGTACATAGTCATGCATGGCCTCACTTCCCATTCTGATAATATGCAGAATCCGAGACTCACCAGACATAACAGGAGATTGGGCAGGGGAATTTGAACGACCGCCTGTGTGCCTATCAACTACTCTACTTCAATTGCAGTCCTGAATTAGTGGACCTCTGAGAGTCTCAGATACACAGAAGTTATGTTTGGTGTCGCTATAGGCTTCACTACTCCTCACTTTAGACATTTTAGGGCGTAATAACCATATTACTGACCTTAATATTATGACCCACCTAACGGCTGTCAACCGGGTTTATAACAGCTAGATTTAAATGCGCCAACTTAATGGGATTGATACAATCTTTTGAAACAGAGATGCTTTAGCTAGTACGAAGTGAGGATCAGTTATCGAAGATATGAATCAACTTATAGTATGACTCCTATTGATATCGGCGATGTTATAAGCTAGGGAACAATACTCAATCTCAGTTTTGGAAAATCGAAAACCCATACTACTTATAGTCACTTGCAAAAAATAGTTTTTTAAGTGCACTCCGACCTCAAGTAACTTGACTGTCTTTTAATTACATGGACAGTTCTTAAAATTCAGATCTTAACAAGGCACAAGCTACCTGTTCACAACTGTAAGCAAGCATGTATTCATTGAGAAAGACGAATTTTTCTTGACACTACTAGGTTCACCAACTCTACATTTGCCTTTAACGAACTGACATCACTTAATGTTGAGTCTAATTCATTCTGAGTATGAAAACCGACTTCCCCGGATGAATAAATAAAATAAAAAAGTCTCAATATACTTGCACCAACGTTCTATGCCAACAAGATTTTGCTAGGATCTACCTTCAGTATTCAAGTAATATTCTCAGGTATGATTTAAAAGCTGATATCGTAGGAACGACATTACATTCACAAACTCCTTGCTCTTGTTCATGTTCACATATTGCTCCACTTTTCTGACTATGTTATTGCGAAGTATATTAGTTATAGAATGTTTTGACTTTGCAACAACGAAGTAAGATGCATAGATCGATTCCCATTTAAGACCAAGAAATACAAAAATAAATAAGTTGAAGATAACCATTTCCAAATCAAGTGATAATCTATTTATTGACGCTTTCAGATTTACAATTGTTTTCTCGCCGCATTGTACGATGATATTCTTTCAAGGTTATACCAGCTGCTTGAAGACGAGATTTAAAGATATCTTTTGTGTTTAGTTTGTTCGTGTCTTTAACATACTTCTTCTTTTTCCCTAATTTCATCAGCTTTTCTGAATTTTCTGTATCTTCCTCATTTTGTTCTATTGGATTAACACCGTTGCTATTATTATTGCCATTATCACTGAGTTTGACTCCCTGAGCCTCTGAATGAATTGATTTTTTCTTTTTATGACGTCTCCGCTTCTTTTTCGATGGTCCACTACTATTGAACGATATTGGTAAATAGAAACAAAAGGATTATGTTTCGTTAATGGCCCACAAAATTCCTCATAAAATCACAAAATTTTATCACTTTTATTGCATAAGGTAAATTAAATGAAAACTTACAAGAATGACTACTTGAAACATTGAGATGACAGTGTTATAAAAAACAGAAATTATAAGGTACTATAGTATTTTACCGTAAATTCAT